AAATAGTCCCAAGCCCCAGACAGAAGTGAAGCAAATTATTGCTATGTCTGAAAGTAACTACAATATCAGACAAAAGTTTAAATAAGCCTCTTATTTAAAAGGAACTTATAACATAAAGGCATGTTCTGGTGCTAACAAAATCAATTACAGCTCACGGTGACGTAATTAAACAAGAGCAGTGAAATTCAAACTCAAAATGTGGACCAGTGGTTAAAGATTATATAATTCAATTTTAATTTAATCTGGCTCAGTAACTCTATCATTTGAGGAAATAGAAATGGAATTGTAGTAAAGGCTGAAATCATAAACAATTGGGTAATTTACTTAATAATAACTGCACATATCTTTAAAGAATAATTTTCTTTATGTATTCAGTTTCTTTCTACAACCCCTTTACCTATTCATTTTAGAATTTAATTCAGAATTTCTGTTATTGTAAAAAACACTAAATGCATTTAGAATATACAGTCAAAAGTCGTTAATTCGGACATCCATAATCCGGAATGATCTATAATCCGGACCTCAAAGCTACAAACTTCTGCGCATGCATTGCGTTGACGTATGTGCATAAGACCTTCACGGCTGCGAATGTGCGTGTGCGCATAAAACGTTTATGCATGCGCGTTTAATGTAGAATGGACAGTATAAGCTAAATTAAAATTATCTAATTCAGTTAATGTAATTCAGTAAGTTAAGCAACTTAAACAACTTACATTGAAAGAAATGTTTAATAAAGTAAACAAATAAATATTAAGCTTTTTCTTTTTGTAAATTTTGATACCTTTCAGATCATAATTTTCTTTATTTCATAAATTATGGTTTCATATTTTTAATTTTGTAATTTCTGCATGCCATCTTACGAGATTTAAACTGATGATCTATAATCCGGAAAAATCGATAATCCGGAATCGCCGAAGTCCCGATGAGTCCGGATTAACGACTTTTGACTGTATAGAAAAAGTGGCTAAATTTATTTCTTTAGTAATATGAATATTCAGAAGAAATATGAAATATATATGGTAAAGGCCGGTTACAGAACTGGTGTGGCAGAATTTTTAGAATTTAGTGACACACCGAACAACAAAATCTAGAAATGGCAAAACTCTTAAAAATTTAGAGCAGGCATTGGAAGCAGAATTTAGGATCCACAGAGATTGCATCAGGTGGGAAAATGCCTAGTGCCAGCTATGTGTATGATGCACTGAGACATATTAGATGACTCTTTTAAATTGCAAGTTTTCGATTTGTTTATTAATAAAAAAAATCCTTATCTATACAATACCTGCTTAAGTGATAAGATAAGAAGCATTTTTGATATTTTCCATGCTTGTGTTTAGTGAAAATAAAGGGAAGATAAACATGTTATAATAAAAAGATTCTAGCATCAGGAGTAAAACATTCAAATATTATGCTTTGATTGTTCTTCCAGAGGTTCTTCAAAAGTAAGAAATTCATCACAAACTTTCTGTAAAATACATCCATTACATGTTGATACCATGGAGATATTTTTCATTTTGTCAACATATTTCTCAAATCTTCTAGAATTGTGGGTCTATAATTCTTGCCATCAAATCCTTCTAAACTTTCCAAGCTGCAATATCTAAAATACTAAAGAAAAATTATCCCTACCAATTCTGTAACAGCAAAAAGGCAGAATTATTTTGGGAAAAAAAAAAAAAAAAGAAGGAAAAAAGTTAAAATTAATTTTAGAGAAAACATGCATTTTCTGAGAATTTTGAATATTCTAAGACAATTACATGAGAAAAATGCTTACTATGAAAAAATTAAAAAGATATTTTTAATTAATTATACAGCTAATTTTGCTTTTGCTAAGAGCTTTTTCGTAAATTATGCTTTATAGCATTATACTTTGTTTATTTTTCAGATTCAAAATATCGTATAATAAGTTGCCAAAATGAAACTTTACAATATGACAGCTAAAAATAAAAATGTTTTAATGTTATTTTTTAAATATAATTTTAATATGTTACCATTATTTTAATGAAATTTATCAATGTTATGATGTTTTGAAAAAATTGTTGAGAAATTTTCAGATCTCGGAATTAAAAATGTTCTATAGAAACTGATCTTAAAATCGCCAAAAGGGTGACAAGTTACCAAATTTAGAATTGTTTAATAAAAGAACTCGCATCCCCCAAAAGCGAATTTCGAAATGCCTATGTTTCACTTCTTGCTTAGAAACTCGAATATCCCATCATTTGAATTAGAAATAGAAACAAATTATAACCCATGAACCCATTCAAAAGATAAGCATATATGTCAGTGAATCGCCAAAAATATTCCTCCAAAATGCTAATTCTCACTCAAAATGGCAGTCATAGAAACAGACAGAAATTTCAGATGATTAAAATTAAGGACCTTCTCTGCTGATTTTTGCTAAAATTAAGGACTTTTAAGGAACAAAAATCGATTTCAAAAAATTTAAGGACTCTTAAGGACAGTACGAACCCTGTCTTATGTGAGAACAATATGTTAAACTGCAGACCAAATTGTCACTAGAATGACAAAAGCAAAAATATTTTGTGTTATAAAAGATGCTTTTTGGCAAATCAAGCTTGATGAAGAAAGCCCTAATTTGTACACATTCAATACACTACAGTACAAAGCCCAAAATCCGGACTCGTTGGGACTTCGCCGATTCCAGATATTAGATCATCAGTTTAAATCTAGTAAGATGGCACGTAGAAATTATAAAATTAAAAATATGAAATCATGATTTTATGAAATAATGAAGTATTTATGATCTAAAATGTATCAAAATTTACAAAAAAAAATATTAATATTTATTTGTTTACCTTATTAAACATTTCTTTAGATGTAAGTTGTTTAAGTTGCTTCGTTTTTATGTGCTAATACGTTCTCTTTAATTCTGTAGACAGATATAACCTTTTGTTTAGTTTCATCGTTGAAGTCCTTTAACTGCTGTGTCGAGAATTCCGACTAACTTGTCGATCGAAATTTTTTCATTTTCAGTAACTTCTGTCACTTTCTTCACTATTTTTTTTTTCCAATGGCAGACTGTGAACAATTACAAATGTCGCCCAATCCATTAATCTATACAAGGTTGGATCTGGTGGTCTCTTTATTATGGAGGCACCTAATAGGTGGGCCACCATCGCCTTTCCTGTGAAGGGACGGACAATTACAACCATGCCTTCTCCAGGATTCGAACCCATGCCCTTCGGCATCGCAGTCAGCTTCCCTGACCACTATACCAACTGGGCGGCTTTTCTTAACTATTGGTAGAGGTATTTTCTGAATCTAGAAACATACTACAAATTTCGCCATTTATTAATTTATTGATGACTGAGAACCATTGTAATCACAATAAAAAACTTCTTTTGTATCATCTTCATTTATTGCCACTTCTCCACATTTCTTTACAAAATCCGTTAATTGGAAAATTTCACCTTTGTTTTGCGATATCTTAAAACCTTTAACATTCGCAGCTACTATCACCAAATTTAAATATAATATTTGGCTATGCATCATGAGCTTGGCAACTAACGCCAAGTTGTTCTGTTAAATTTTATCTCGCTTCTATTGTGCATTGAGACAATTAAACTTGAATAATACAAAATCAGGAAGTATTTAGACGCTAAAGAAAACAGTTCAACTGCTGAAGAAAATATCAGAGGAACAGAACAAAGAGTAACCTCCCAGAAAAACAGATGTTCTCAAGAGCAAAGTTTAGAACATCTACCAAACTCCAATAACTTCGAAACAAGGGGCAGTCAGCAGCGATGTACATGGACTGAACTTTGGAACCCTTTAAAAAAAAAAAACTCGAATTTCTTAAAGATATATATATAACATTTAGTTACTAAATAGTGAATGGCTACAGTTTTATGTACATAAAAACAGAACAATGCTAATATTGCAGTTATCTCAAATATACACTAGTTAATGCTTTAAATAAATAGTTTGAACAGTTAAAAATGTAGCCTCTTTATTTCACAGGATACATGGTTCTCCTCTCCAAAGACAGAAAATAACCAAAGCAAAATATTTCTGCTCACTGAATCTGAATGTCTCAATTTTCCTTGAAAAATGTTTTACAGAAAAATTCTACTGTTGTGTTACTGATTTGCCTTTGAGTGTTCTATTTACAAGCTTATTCCATTAACCATTTCTGTAAATTTATCTAAAAATAAGGGAACATGATTAACATTTTATAAAAACTTCTAATCACAAAATTCAAACAAATTTTGTATGAAACTAATGACCAATTATTTTATCACACAAAAATTATACACAAAGAATTCGTTTACAGTATGTTACAAGAGTAAGAATAGCAAGTGGTATGCTTCTAATATATATAAACAGTCTGTTATCATAGTAATAAGCGGTACGTTTCTCTGCAACTATATATAAAAAGAAATTATCATAGCTTCCAAAATCCTTTTGTATGCACAGAAAGTAAATCGTGTTTGTATGTGTATATATATATATATATAGATACAGTATGTATATATATATATATATATATATATATAACAAACTGTCTGAAATAATTTCATTTTGTCTGAAATAATTTCATAAGCATTTCAAGTACTTCTTAAAAAGTACGGAGGGAGAATATCAAGATAATTTTAAGACTGCGAAAATTTTTCAAAATATACGCAGCATCATTCTTCTGAACTTGTAATACATTGGGAAAATTAATAAATTTAATATGCATATATATACTATGTATACTTCAATTTTATATATATTCTGTCAACATAATGAACAGTTTCTGAATAAATCACAGAAATGACTTCACTACATCACGGCAGTTGCCGAAAATTAGGGTAAATGTGTGGACATGGCCTGCTTTCTGTATACAGAGAAAGCACGAGGTTGTTTATATACTCAAAATCAGCTGTCGCCATTATTACATCAATTGTCTAACGAAAGAAATAGGCGTTTTCACTGCATTAGCAACATATCCACCATTAAAATATTGTATAAAAACCCAAAAATTTCAAGGAACCTACCATGATGGAGTGGATTTCATGACTAGGGCTTACACAAGATAACTTTCTATCCAGCACGCGACATATTGGAGCACAGACGAATCATGGGTAAAACGGCAACATAGAACAAGCTCCTAAACGCACTGAAATATTATTTTTCATGGAAGTAATTAAAGTAAGTTATGTTTTCAAAGCAAAAGTAATTTGAAATATGACTTTTTAAAGTTACAGTTTTGATTATTTATGCACTACGTTTTTATCTCTTTCAATGTCTAGCGACATTACTTTCTCTCTCAAGCCCAACTCTTCCGTTATTTACCGTCTCCACGCGGGGTTGCCAGAATTATCGTCGAATTTAGCAATACGGCGTCAAGATTACCATGACAAAAGGCGCCAATACATTCACTTTGGTTGATTCATCACACGACGCTATTATAGGAGGTAAAAATCCATGCTGCAACAGAATTTTACGGTTCAAGAAAAATTAATAAGCTGCTTTCATAAAACTTTCGAAAAAATTAAAAACACTCAAGTCGTCACATAACGTACAAATAATGCATATTTTGAACAGACTTATTAAATGCGTATTAAAATAAACCATTTGATTCTCCCTTGACAGCTCGGTTTCGTAATATGCTTTACAAGTGCCTACATTTTCGTAATATGCTTTACAAGTAACCTGAAAGTCCACATTCAAATCACACACTCATCACTCATATATATATATATTAAAAAAATAACAATAATAAAATACTGATAAAAGTTATTGAGTTACATTGTAAAAAAAAAAAAAAAAAAAAAAAAAAGGTTATTTGCTTGACCAAAAGTAAAATGTCTCTCACAGGAGTCTAACCATATAAGCCATCCTTCAAACAAATAAAATGATCACAAGAAAATGTTGATGCATAAACCTCACAGTTAAATTCCACCAATTCTCACACATGTACATCATTAATTATTTTGAGGATCTAAAACTTGTAATTTTTAACAACCTCCAGTTTTTTTAATGGCATTATCTGATGTATTTGTTATTGGAATGTGCATAATCATGTTATGGGACTTTACCATTAAAAAGACACAACAAGAGAGACTATTTACAAAGGGCTTAAAACAAATAAATATAAAGCTTTTTTTCCCTGTAAATTTTGATACCCTTTAGATCATAATTGCTCTTTATTTCATAAATTATGGTTTCATCTTTTTAATTTTATAATTTCTGCATGCCATCTTACCAGATTTAAACTGATGATCTATAATCCGGAAAAACCGATAATCCGGAATCGCCGAAGTCCCGACGAGTCCAGATAAAAGACCTTTGACTGTACCATATCTTGCAGGATTCTTAGGTATACTCTGCTGAAAGAAGCATCGTATTCGAAAAGGTTCTAGCTTTTCATTCGAAGTCACATATTCCCCTACATGATATAATCTCTGTCAGGTCTTGAGAAAATTTTCAATTAAATCTCTTATTGGAGCTAATTTTTCACTCTTTCTTCTGTTCAGGGCAGTGGAGTCGGAGTCGAGTAGATTTTAGGGTAAAAGGAGGAGTCGCTAAAAAACATGTCGACTCCGACTCCAGTTTTTGTTGCACAGTTTGAATTTGAAATGAAATTAAAGTGAATTGAAAAAAAAAATTAATGACAAATTGAGATAATATTTTTATTTATAGACTACATACATTAATAAATAGTTATTTTCTATTTTTTGACATATTATTAAATAAATATAAGGGAGCGGGATGGATGTGATATTTGCCATTAGTGACTAGACTGATTCATTTAGTTACATCATTTAATTAAGGTAATTAATTAAGATTTAATTAAGATATTGTTCTTTGATTTCTAAATTTACTACATTTAGTTAAAAATCTCACTGGTAAATTTAGGTAAGCAGCAATAGCTCCTAAAATTGATGCCATTCTTAGGAAGCGAGCAGGAAAAGGAGGCAATTATTGATTAAGCAATGGACAAGTAAGTGCATATTTGATGATATAGTGGTTGTTAGGACTAAGAACTTTTTTCAGAAGATGTAAATAACCCTAATATTTCACTAACAGAAAGACTGTGGAATGATCTTGCAGAACTGGAAATCCTGCTTTCAACACAGTATATAGCCACCAAAAAGCTACAATCTGAAGAATTAACAAGAGGCAAGACTGGAGGAATGCAATATTTGTTTTTTTCTGAAATGGAAGATTTATTGCAGAAAGAATCATTTCCTCAATGAAGAAAAGGGAAAAACTAGTTTACTAGACAATAAGGTCGCACTGGATTCAATATATGTAGATCCAAAATGCCGAATTTTGTTGGATGACAAACAAATTAAAAAGGCAAAGAAAGCCATCTGTGAACTTTCATTAAGAATGAAATTATTCTCAGAACAACTGGAGTATTCAAATCAGGACAGTCAGACTGTAGATATTGCAACTGAGTCTCTATCATCCTCTTCACTGATGAAATAGATTTTAAGAAATATCTGAATAATATTGAAAAGGCTAAGGCAAAGCAAATGAAAATAAAGAACCAAAAGCCCTTAGATATAAAAATGAAAAAATACAAATAAGATTTATACACTGCATTTGAAGAAATAGATAAACATGATGCTCTTGCAAGACTCTACTCTTTTAGATCTTATAAAAATCTATCCTGAAAAGTTAAAGGAAGTAGCCATAACAGTAACAGCTCTTCTTCCTACTCAAGTCAGTGTGGAAACACTCTTCTCAGTTCTGAAGTTAATCAAATCGGATCTATGGTCCTCTAACAAACAAGATCTTGCCGAAGTTTTACTGTTCCTTAAAAATTACTAATGCCAGTTTTTTCCATTTCATAATAAATGCTAATTAATATACAAAATTTGCTATGCATTGTTGAATATAAAAAATTTTAAAGTGTTGAATATCTGAGAATTTGGTGTTTTAAACATTTTTAAACTTTGAACCTTGACTCATGGTGCCGGACACACTAACTCAAAAATATAATATAAAACATTCATATATCATATTGACATTCTTATAAACATTCGTATAGTGGTAGTACAATTTAACTTTTAGGTTCGCATTGTGAGTAACCTATGCAAAGGAAAAATCAATAACCTAAATTCAATTAAACTCCATGTTTCTTAAAAGCCTCCCGGCTCAAACAAATGGAGGGACATGACAAACCACAGTAAATTATACACAACATAAATACACAAATACAATTAAATTTTAAACACACATTTATTAAATTCTAGAATATTATTATATTACTAAATAATGGATAACTGATCAGTAATCCTACCACATACTTTTACTATGAAAAGTAACACATAATGTCACACGCAATTACAGCTTACAAAAATTAAGATTAACATTATCAAATCTCCTACTGTATCATAAGAATAACACCAGTATTTCTCCCATTTCATCTTCTAACTTTAAGTATTTATTCCCTTTAAGAACACTGATAATTTCCACATTGATTAATTAATTTAAGTAATTGCTCAAATTTCAATGAACATTAAAATGACGACTCTTGCTTGAGTATTAAGATAATTATTAAAGTAAAGCAAATAAAAAACAAATCGCTCATGGGGTGAAGTCCATACCGCACACTCCCTTTACTCGGGAATACCTTTGTAAACTGATTAATAAGGTGATTTGACAGCTCCACAGATCGTCCAGCGTCCAAAGTTTACTTGAGCTCCACATTATTCCTGCTGTCCTTTATTAACAAAATCATCGTTAAGGGAGACAGACAGATCGTGCAACTTTTAAAGATGTCTTGGATGAAACACCACTGAAGCTGTCCTTACAATTAATAAATTCCAGAGCATGGAAGAATGGAAAAAAAAATCGACGCAGCTGACACAGGCAGAATAAACAGCATCGCACACCTTAGACGGTTCCTACGCAAGTCTCTTTCATTCTGGAAGGCTCGAAACCCACCAAAACCGTAGAGCAGAATTATTGCCATCAGTATATTTAGAAATGGCATCAATTTCTGAATTGCTGTCTTATGTTGAAAACTTTCATTTTCAGAGCTAAATACTCACTATTGATCACTATCTATGATAAAATGAACACAACAACATATACAATACATACTAACAAAAGAAATAAGTGATATTTTGGCTTATCACATAGTAATGTGGTGCTCAGGTGAAGTAAAAAGTATACTGCAGTGAATCGTTCAAAACAAAATCTGAAAAATATAAACTATATATAAAATATACTATATAATATATAACCAAATGTGTAAAAAAAATGGCATTTAATACAAAAATGGAAAATCTAGATTCTATGACACACTCATTGCTTAATAAAAATTACAAATGTTTCAGCTTGAATATTCCAAATGATCAGTTTGTTAGATTTATTTTCTCAATATCTTACATCATAAATAAATAAATTTGCTCAGTACTGCGAATGTTATGCAAGATCGCGAGGGGGCCAGGGAAAAAAAAAAAAAGTCTAATTACAAAAATTTCCATAAACATAACCCTGAGCAAACAAAAATTAGACCAGTTACACACATTGATGAAAATTATATCCAAGAAATAATTACAAATAAAAAATCCTAACAATATTATCATTTATGTATGGTCTTTAAAAAGAATTACATGGAATTGATTGTACACTGCGAAAAATATTTAAACATATTCTTGTGAAATTAGTTTTAAATGTCTGAGAAATCTATAAACATTTTGTGACTAAGATGCAAAATGCTCCTGTCTTAAAGGAACAATTTTTCTTTATCTGCTTAAAAATTTACCCTTCCCGATACTCACTAGTACCTTCCAAACAGCTTCGGAAACAATGAGATGCCATTGTTTATTAAAAGCATGGAAAAATGAGCACTACCACGCCAAATTGGTAAACCTACATGCGCCAAAAGTGCAAAGAGAGGCCAACGCCCTTGAGTTGCACCTCTGGGGCTACTTCATCGCCTTTTCATGTGATGCAGTGCGCGGGGCCTTTGAATAACATGCGCTTCTGAAGTGCCCCAACTTCTCCATGTACTCTTTTCTAAACACAACACTTAAAAAAAAAAAAAACATTGTTTTTAATGTAATAGTTTTTGTATATAGTATATCAGTTAAGGTAAAGAAAATTCAAGTAAGAAAAGCGTGACATTAAAAATATATTTCTAAATGGTAATGGTAGGTTTTAGCTAATATGCTATTTTTACCTCTTTTTAAAGAATTTAGATTTTTAGAAATTACTGGCTGCCTTTTAGCATTTGGCCTTTGCATTTTAGTTTTCTCCATTGTATCTTCTATGCTTTGCACATTTTTAACTGATTTTTGTTTTATCACATTTTTTGCATTTATGCAATTTTGTAATT